CCAGCTCCGTGGCACCGCCGTGCCGGTGGCAGCTGCGTCCCCAGCCCTGATGGGCTTGGCGCCACTTGGGCTTGGGTTGGAGCCACTGGGGCTGGGAGAGGAGCTGCTCCCAAAAACAGAGCCTGTTTCCAGAAGGGATTTCCCCCAAAAGTCCCACCACAAGCTCTCCAGCCAAGAAGAGCTGAAGGAGCAGGTGGGAATCTCCAGATGAGGGTAAAGAAACAATAAAAAATGTGCCCTGCTTTCTGTGGTCAATAGATAGGTTATTGTGGGGCTGAAGCAAACCCAGCTCCCATCCAAGTATGTTTGTTTGGTTGGTTGTAATGGCTTGAAAGCTCTTTCATATGTGTCTTTGGTGCCTAATAGCACAGGAACTTCACAAGTGATCTAGGGGGTACCTTGTCTTCTTGGGCAAGGCAGGAATCCCAAAATGATCTACCTGTCATCCCTCTTGATGGGAAAAATGCATTCCACATGCAGGGCTGGCAGTTTCACAGCCCCCCTCTGCACCGAGACCACAACAGCAGCAAAATCACCTGGCACCATCACACCAGGAGATTCAGGGCTTCAGCTTTCATTCTGTCCTCATCTGCATCATGCTGACTTGCCAGCTCTCAGCAACGTTACCCTTGCTTCCATTATTCACCTACCATTCAATATTTACTTCTCAATAACCCTAGGCCATGTCTGCGAAGCAAACTGCAGTTCAGGTAGGGTCTGGAGAAGCCAGCCAGAGCCTGACACCAAAGACATCCATTGTGGCAGCACAAAATTCACCACTGAGCAAATGGGAATATCTTTCAGAATAACAATGCTGCACAGTGCTCTGCACCCTGGGACCTGTGGTGGGACAGAGGGTCCCTGTACATCACCACGATGGTCATAGCAAGTGAGAAGACCGAGAGCATGCTCCTCATGAGCAGTGCGAGGTCACAAGACAGCTTGTTGGAAAGCAAAGCACCTACTTTTTCAAGTGGCTTTGGCCTCATTCTGCTGAATCCAACGCTGAGAGGTGCAGTTACGCGTGGCTTGCTCTGTGCCCTTGAACAGCACAGACCCTCAAGCTGCACCTTCCCCATCTACTTCCCCAGTTTCTTCCCTTCTCCACCCCAAGGACTTGAGCCAGGTTGGGAAATTGGGATTGATGCTCCTTTCCCTCTAATAAATCAGCAGTGTGATTTGCAGGCAGCTGATTCCTGCCCATGCAGGCCATGCCTCAGCTCGGAGAGGGTGGTGGGGAGAAAGAGGGCACTGATTTTAGCTGCTCTGCCCTGCCTGCACGCTCCTGTCCATCAGCAGGGGACCCATTCAGGGCCATTTATTTCTAGCCACAAGTGGATTATTTGGAAGCCGTTTCAACAGTTGTTCAGGCTCCTCAAAATAGGCTGCCTGCAGCTCCAGGCTCCTTGCTCTCTCCTGCTGCTTTCTTCTCCTCCTAAATAACTCACACCAGAAAAACACAACTGCCTGGAGGGCACCACACAGCCCTGATCCCCCTCACCTCCCCATCTTCACGTCCCACTATGTTTCAGCAAGGGCATTAGCTTACATCCCTCTCCTCTAAGCTATTAGGGTTGATATCCTAAATGAAACCCAGAGCTAAATACTTGTTAGAGAGGTGAGACTTGCTGAGCAAGATTGCCCTGTGCAAACCCAGGGATACCAGGGGGAGACACAGCTGCCAAACATTGCCAGGTTCTTCTCACTATGTGCCCAGCACCCCTGACTCCTAGCAAAATCCAAGGCTGGACTTTTGCTGTTCATTCCTGGACAAGTGCAGCCATACAAGAAGAGACATTTCCAGCTGCTGTGCACTTAGGGAATTCAGAAATTTAAAAGAATCATGAAAGAAAAATGCATGTCAGCAGCTTACAAAGCCATTGAGGGAGGCCGGGATGCAAAGCCCTATGTACAAGCAGAGAGAGGATTCAGCACCCAAGGAACCAGCAGCAGAGGCCAGGCTGTTTCAGGCATTTGCAGAGACTGTTTCAGTTGTCTCATTCAATAGCCACGTGTGGAAAAAATAATCTAGCTAGATGTCAAAAACCTCCCATTGGGAATTCCAGTTTCCCTTGGCTCTGAGCTATAAATACTCCAGTGTGCAAAGGGTGAATGTGGAGCAGTGAGTGGCAGCTGGGGGCTTATGTCAGGATCAAGGGATGTTTAGCTATTGTTAAATGAAGTGCCACATACTGGCTCATGTCCGTGCCTGGACACTGTGGTGTTTCCCCACTCCAAGCCAGCTCTGATGGGCCTTGCTGGGCTGCGGGGAGGAACAGGCAGCCCTCCAGCACTGCATCTCCCCAGCTAGTAGGTGAAGGACAAGGTGGGAGTACAGGAAATTTAGGTAAGTCTGTCAGCATGACTCTCCCTGGCCAAGCACCGGGTGTGAGCCATTCCCCTTTCCCACTGCATGCCCTGTGCCAGGCTGTAGAGCTGGTGACCCTTCTGGGTCTCTGAAATCAGAGCAAAAGCAGGAAACAGGTTTTGCTAAGCAGCAGCCAACATTTGGCTTCTACCCCCAGTTTTGCTGCTGTGATGGTCTCTTGTGACCCTGCCTCAAAAGTCATAGGGCACTTGTTCCAAGTAACTCAGCTGGATAATAAGAAAGGATGAAAATATAGGCACTTGGATCATTGCTTTCTGCTCTGTTCATACCTTCCCTCTCTGGAAAGGAAAGTTTTCCAGGAATCATAGAATAATAGAACTATTCAGGCTGGAAAAGACTCTTGGGAACACCGAGTCACACCATCATCCCTGCTCTACAAAGTTCTCCCCTAAACCACATCCACCAACACCACATTGAAATGACCCTTAAACACACCCAGGGATGGTGACTCAACCACCTCCCTGGGCAGCCTATTCCAGTGTCTAACCACTCTTTTTGTGAAAACAAGTTTTCCTAATGTCCAGTCTAAAACTACCCTGTTGCAGCTTGAAGCCATTTCCTCTTGTTCTGTCACTAATTACCTGTGAAAAGAGACCAGAACCAACCTCTCTACAATGACCTTTCAGGTGGTTGTAGAGACTGATGAGGTCTCTCCTCAGCCTCCTCTTCCTCAAACTAAACATTCTTAGCTCCTTCAAGCATTCTTCATAAAATTGATTCTCCAGGCCCTTCATCAGCTTCTTTGCCCTCCTCTATGCTCACTCCAGTACCTCCATATCTCTCTTGAATTGCCCCAAAATGGACACAACACTCCAGGTGTGGCCTCACCAGTGCTGAGTACAGGGGGACAATCACCTCTTGACTTCTGCAGGTCACACAATTTCTAATACAAGCCAGGATGCCATTGGCTTTCTTGGCCGCCTGGGCACACTGCTGGCTCATATTCAGCCACTTGTCAATCAGAACCCCCAGGTCCTTTTCTGCCAGACACTTTCCAGCCAAACTTCCCTGGGCCTGGAGTGTTACCTGGGGTTGTTGTGGCCCAAGTGCAGGACCCGGCACTTGGCCTTGTTGAAGCTCAGATCATTAACATTAGTCCAACCATCAAATCTATCCAAGTCTCTCTGCAGAGCCTCCCTATCCTCATGCAGATCAACACCCCCACCTAGCTTGGTGTCATCTGCAAACTTACTGATAACACACTCAGCCTTTTCATCAACCTTTGTTACTAAGATTCACTTTGCATCCAATAAAGGATGGAGATTTTCCCTAATCCTCCTTTTGCTGTTAATGAGCTTAGAGAAACATTTTTTATTATCCCTCACAGCTGTAGCTAGTTTGAGCTCTAGCTGTGCTTTGGCTCTCCTAATTTTCACCCTGCATAAGTTCATTTCATCTTTATAGACTTCATGAGTGACCTGTCCCCTCTTCCAAAGGTCATAGACTCTCATTTTCTTCCTGAGGTCCAGCCAAAAGTCCCTATTTAGTCAGGCTGGTCTCCTACCACACTTACTGGTTTTTCAGCACAAGGGGACAGGCTGCTCCTGTGCCTTTACAACTTCTTTCTTGAAGTATGTCCAGCCTTCCTGGACTCCTTTATCCTTCAAGGCAGCCTCCCAAGGGACTTTGTCAATCAGTTTTCTGAGCAGTTCAGAGTTTGCCCTCTGGAAGTCTGAGGTGGCAGTTTTACTAACCCGTCTCCTTGTTTCTCCAAGGATCAAAAAATCAATCATCTCTTGAACATTGTGCCCTAGATGGCCTCCAACTTTTACTTCCCTCACAAGATCTTCCCTGTTCACCAGAAGCAGGTCCAGGAGGGCACACTCTCTGGTCAGCTCACTTACCAGGACGCGTGAGGAAGAACATATTTCTAGCTAACTCAGTCTAGGGAGAGGTAATGGCATCCACAATACTGCTTCTAATATTACATTTCCTATCTACTAATCCTCAGTGCTTGGTCTCACAGAAGAAACCTCCCAAGTGTTTTCCCCACCAAATAATTAGCAGTGATACTAACAAATAAATAGGGAACCAGGGAAGTAGCATTTTGCATTAGTATCTTTCTTATAGGATATTACAGCCCCTAATTAGCAGAGTCTGATCATACCCTGGTGAGATGTGGAGGCCCCATAAGATACAGGCTTGTGAGTCAACATGCAAAGCTGTTCCAAGAAAAAGCCATGAGGGATATATCTACAGGAGCACTGCAAATAGACCTGAGCTCACTGTCTGTCCTGCCAGGTGCTGGGAGGGCTTCAGGGTGTGGAAAAACATGAGGGCAGGTTGAGGGACTGTGGACTATGGTAACATACTCCAGCAGGTACAACAGCAGTGTAAGGAGGGCAGCAAATCATCCAGTGCAGGAGGTTGGATGAATTTCTGCACTTGAGGAGAGACAGAAGGGCAATTTGTGGAGCTATAAAGCGGGTGAAGCATTTGAACAGATCCCCCAAGGAAATTGCAAAATCCCTCTTAGAAGATGCCTCTGGTCTTACCTGGCTGATAGAAGTCTGGGGAGAGCTCCCTGGCCATCATCCTGGCTATGCCCGATTCGTTGTTAGCTGCCTGAGCTGCCTGCTCAGAACTTTCAGCCTTGGCTTTGGCATGAGCTGTTCTGCAGAGAAGAGGGGACAACAGTGAGCACCATCCGAGCTGAGATCACTCTAGCTTGAGCAGTGGACCATGTCCAGGAACAAGATCAGCCCATCTGGCATAACACAGCACTCAGAGCCTGGCTGCTTGACCTAAAACCCCACGCTTGAGGAGAAAAGACCAGATTCTCAACAAGTAAGTGGCACAGAGAAGCTGAAGGCTCAGGTGTGAAGGTTGCACTGAGCCACACAATGAAACAGGGCAGGTGTATTTGCAAACACAAGCACGTCCATGAGCTGCAGTGAGGCAGCACGTGCTGCAAAACAGGCTTGCTGCTGTGCTGTGAAGCACTGCAAACCTAGCTCAGAGGAATGCCTAAAGCATCACCACAAGACATCTTTGCAGCAGGAAGGGACAATAAGGCAGTAGCTGAACAACACTCTGCTGTCATTAGCCCTGAGCTGCTGCATCTCACCAGTGGCACTGTGCCCCTGCCCAGCTCACTGACATGTTTTACCCCACGTTTCTCCCATAGTTCTCCAGCAAACAGCACAGCTCATCCAAGGGGCTCCCTTACTCACCACAGCCCCAGGGGCTGCCCTCACTGGTGCTAGGGAAGGCAGAGCTCCTGCCTCCCTTGCAGCTTGGCTCCCTGAGTCCTCTCCACTCCTTCCCAGCACATCTCCGCCTTGTTCTATGGGGCTATCTGAGGTATTTCACTGGCCGGCTGTTGTGTTCCTTGCATGCCTCACGCTCAGGGCCCTGTGATCTTTATGTTAAAGCAGGGCTGGCTTTACAGCCCAGCTGCTCACAGTCTGGGAAGGAGCTGACTTCAAACAGAGAAATTGCACCTTAAAAATAAGGGAGGGTGAAGAACCATATATTCATCTGCTTTGTTCCACACGGGGCTTATGGAGAGCTGCTTTCCCCTGCTCTCACTTAGCACGTTTGCCAAGGCTCCCCAAATCTTCCTTGCTGCAAATAATGGAGCATACACTGGCTGCACATGTAAAACCTCATATTTATTTTTTTTTGTGGGCAGTTTGATAAGCAGTTAGCAGGCCTCAAACACCAATTCACTACAATTTACAACCTTTCCTATGGTGTTATGGTGTCTGATGAGCCCTCTTCAGGCTCAGATTGGTATCTGGTCATGTTTTAGCACAAAAAATGAGGAAAGCTGCAGTTCTCATCCCTGCAGAGAAGGTTTCAGAGGAATTTTTGGATTGTCAGTCATGAAGTCAGGATTAATTCCTTTTTATTAAAGAGATGCAGCATGCAGACAAGACTAGCTTTAGCCCAAATACTCAACAGGTGCAATGAAAAGGTGATAGAAATGTTGTTCTAAGAAGGTGTATATATATACACACACACATATTCACACATGCACCATTACGGGGAGCTGTGAGGAAAGAATTAAATGTAAGGCAATAATCCCAACTGCTACAGGCAACAGTGTGAGTCAATGGGGAGCTGAAAATGCTGCTCAGAGCCCTGTGATAGAGAAGAGGGTGCAGAGCTGCTGTGCCTCAGCCTATCTCTCCATGGGATGACATCCCACTCCACTGGAGCCATGAGTCACCTCCCTGGCCACACTCACATGTTATCTCCCTGCTTTCTCTGCAGGCTGAGCTGCCTGGGATTGCTGTCATTCTTGGCCTTTTTACGCAAAATTATTACAGCTCCTGAAAAACCCAGAGACAAGACATGATGAGGCAGAAACCAGCAATTTTAAGCCGCTGCTCGTAAGCAGGAGGTCTGAGGCAGCTCAGAACAGAGAAAGCACCTCCTTTTTTGGTAGCATATAATCAGCGTGATTAATTCCACTATAATCTGGCAGGGGCCAAGGGGGATGTTTGGCTCTCCTTGCCTAGGGGATCAGAGCAGGCTGGGTTCCCTGTGCCTGGGGCACTCAGCCTGCCCGGCGCCAGCCCCAAGAAGAAGCTTGCAAAGTGAGGGTCTAGCTCTTCACCCCAGCAGGACATGCTCTGGCCCCTGGCTTTGTCCTGCTGGTCCTGAAGGACTGAATTCTTTGGATTCATCACACAGAGATAAAATTCCCCCTTTCAGCCAGGCAGAGGTATCCTAGCCACTTCCCAGCCAGACAAACCAGCCAGCTGGCCCCAGCTGGGGGAGCAGCCAGGAAGCTCCTGGCAAGTGGGTGGATGGTTTCCTACAGGTGAATTCCAAAAAGGCAGTCTGGAAGTGGACTGGATGCAGACTCTGCTCTCCCTTCTAGTGTGGATATGGTGTGACTCACGCTGATGTGTTGCCAAAGGGGTGCAGGCAGCTCCCACATGCTCAGCTCTCCCCAGGAACTGGGGCCAACACAAGGGAACAGCCTGGGAGTGTTGAAGGTGACAAGGCAGTTTCCAGTCATGCAGGACTTGCCTGACCTCTGCTCCTGACCCCCTTCTTGCAAAGTCATCCAGAAATGCTTGATTTGGGGGTACTGAGATCAACAAAGCTAAAGCTTCAAATCTGGCACCTCTGGCAAACCACATGTTGGCCCTGCTGGCATCCTGGGGAAGCCATGCCCATGGCAGAGCACTGCTGCCCCCTGGCAAGAATGCTGATGCCCTATGCTGTGTCTTAGGATTGCTGAGATCATTTATTACAGCAGCAGCCAGATGATGAACATCTGGCTTAGGCAGACAGAGCATGGTGGTTGCAGCAGGCCTTCCCCACTCCCTCGGCTGAGCTGCACAGCCCTGGGGCACGAAGGGAAGACACTGCTGCTCACAGCTCTTCAAAAACTGCACTGAGAGCTTAGTAACACCATGACAAAGTACAGCCTGGAAGAAAAAGCCCAGCCACAACAATAACACCTAACTTGCCTAGAGTATTTCTGAATTAATTATTTACCCGCAGGGCTGGCAGTGCCTGGGAGCACAACACAGAGAAAAACTTGGCCCTGACTGCAAAGCAGGAGACAAATACCAGCTGCTCTGGGAGAGCTCAGCACACACAACTGGCAACACAAAAGCATCTCCCAGCCCATGGCCTGAGGTCTGCTGCATGCAGGGGTGAAAAAGAAAAATCCAGGAGGCTTCGGGGAGGCAGGAAGGTGATCTTTGAACCCCAGACATAAAATACATAAGAGGAAAAATTTCTTCCAAAGTTAAGATTTGAGGAAAAAACAGAATGAGCCTTTACAAAAAGGGAAATGCTGGCCTTTTATTTGTGTGCATGTAAATATAATACTTTTCAGGCAGCACTTGAATCAGGGCCATGCTTTTTTATTCACCACTGGTTGTGCTGTCAGCTCCCAGCCCCTCTGCAGAAAGCAGCCTGTACAAAGACCCACAAAGAAGAAAGTCTGGAGATGGAGGGGATCAGGATGAAACTGAAACAGAGGCCCATGAATTTTCTAGCACCCAGCAGCAAAATTCAAAAGCCCCTTTTCCCAGCAGTGATGGAAAACAAACCATGAACATTAAGCACATCCACTGGGGCAACAAGCACAAAGAAGGACCTTCACAAACCAACCCCACCACTCTCCATCCCAAGTACCACCCTGGGATGAGTGCTTCCCTGTTTTACTCTGAGCCATCTTCCCAGGCAAGGCTGTTAAAAATAGCTCCAGTGAATTCTTCAGGAGGAGGAGCAGCCCTGCACCAAGGGGAGGTATGTGGGCAATGTCTGCAGCTTTGCCCCAGCACTCGCTGGGTCATGATGGCTGCTCCGGGGCCACTCTAGGCAGGGAGGCTTCACACCTCGGGCGGGAGAGGGGAGCATTAAATGCATCTGCTGTTTTATTTGCCCCTCTGGCAGGGCTCTAATGCTCTAATGGTTTTGGTACTAGTGCAGGACAGAGCACCACTTCTGTCTTTCCTGGCCATCTCCCAGAAACACTGCCCCAATCATTCCTCTGACTGCAACTAAAATCCCCTGGGGATACATGAGCTGCAGCTGAGCACCGTGCTAACAGGTGAGACCCAAAGCCCAGCCAGCATGCCTGTCTCTTTGGACAGTTTATGTGGTTTTGCACATCCAGATTGGATTAGACTGCAAATGAGATTGGAATTAGCAGAGAATACTGCAAATACCAGACAGGGCTGGGTCGCCTGCAGGTGCAGCAATGACCTTGTGGCTAAAATTGGGGAAGAGCTCAGATCTCTGCCCAAGCGCTCACATATTTGCTTATTAAGGGAAAGACAGACTCATTCAGTGCTGTCCTTACTTCTCCAGGGTCTTCCTCATTGCATTGATGCAGTAAACCCTGAGGAAGGACTAACTGAACACTTTTTTCTTGTCATTCTCAATACACCAACCTGCAGAAAAGGTCTTTATGCAAATAAAATTAATCAGTCAGCTCTATGGCTGAACTTCCCTTTCCTGGAAAATGGCTTTTCCATCCCCACTCAAATTCCTCCTCCTGTATCTACCAGAAATAATTTTGTCCTTCTGAGGAAACTTAAGATAATGGTTTCTCTTGGCAGAAATGTCAGCAGCACTCAAAAGGGATACATGGAAAGCTGCAGAAGTGCTTTTGCTGATGGTGACATGGTCCCTTCTACTTTCACATCATGAAGGGCAAGGACACACAGACCTGACCAGCACAGACCTGTTTTGGGGGGTTGGATTAGATGACCTTCAAAGGTTCCTTCCAACCCAAAGCATTCTATAATCCTATGGCATGACCAGGACAGAATCCTTCTGGTTTCTCCATTTTCCACACTGTCTTTGGACTTACATCACCTCTGTAGGGCTGAGTGTCCCTTTTCATTTCATCGCTTGTGCCACTTTCCCTGCCCACATTCAAACCCACCTGTGTGTCCCACCCTGTCATGAGAGCCAAATACACATTTATTTGCCTTTTGCTTCATCACTTGTGTGCACATACCCACAAAGTTTAGACTCTGACATCCCTGGAGTGCTGGTTGATATTATGGACTCTGCACCTGCAAGGTGTGATCTAAATTGTGAATTAAGCATAAATCAACACAAACTGCCTCCTAAAGGAGACATCTCCATACCACTGTAAAAGAAAGCCAACAAGAAAAATCATCCTGGCCTTGC